TTTAAACTACCTTCTTCCCTTCACTGCTCCTCAGTCTCCATCTTCTCCTCCAACACTGATCTTCCTCATATTCCCAGACCAAATCAAGAGCAGACCAAGCATTGACTGTCGCAGTGCAGGAATTCCGGGCGCCATCTTGGGGAGGTCGACCTGCTACCCTAACGTGCTGCTTTAAGCCGAACAGAAGGATGCCTCAGCACTGCAGCGTATTTTAGTTTAAATCAACAGACAGTTGACATCAGGGCTCGATGGATAACTTAGTGAAGGCATCAGAGCTTTGGAAGACATTACTGAATAAACCGCAGATATACACTACATAGAATAGAAACTCTATAGAAATAAACTGAATTGAATATTTTTACTGTATATATAAGAAAGAGAGAGATGTATATCGAGATATTTGTGTATACCTGTATAAATATGCTATAGTGAAATATGTATGAGTGGCTCTGCTTTGCAATATTCATCCATCCTATCAGAATATTCTATTACTCTTAATCCCACTAAGAATATTAAAATAAACTGAACCATTTTTTTGTTTTCAGCGGAAATAAATAAACAGTGAAAATTAATTTAATATTCAGAAAGTTAAAGTTGATTAAATTGAATTATGTTCCTGCTCAGCACATTGCAGAGCGGAGCTGTGGACCTTCCCTAGATGGTGCCACCAAATCACAGCAGCGCCCTCAGGCTGAAGCGGTCGATGCGGGTCTACTCTAATATGTCAAAGCCTCCCCTTTTTTGGATATTTTATGGATTTACATTTAATTTTTTGTATTTTCTATGGAATGTTGCATCTCTGCTTTTATTTTCTGTTGCAGTTTGAATTTTCTTTGTACATAAAAAACTTCATACTGACTCCTATCAAGTTTAACTTCCAGAATTTTTTTCTGTTCCTTTGATCCGGATCAGAGATCAGCTTTGATCTGACCTGCATTCAGGACTCGTTTTCTCCATCCTGACTCCTGCTGTGACCTCTGACCTTCTTCTCTGTCGCCACCTGAAGGAGAAACGCCGTTCTCAGCTGGATGAGGCGCTGCTGCTGGAATCTTAGGCCAGATCCGCGTACAGAACCACAGCTTCAGGCCCTGCAGCTACTGGAAAATATCTAAATCTAGATAAGTCATTTTTTTTTATTAAAATAAGTGCATTTGTTCTTGGATTGAGGAGGTAAAAGAGACATTTTGCAAATAGAACAAGACAATTTACATTTAAAATAAGAAAACACTGCATTGCCTTATTTCCTGTGCATATTATCTAATTATCTTATTCTAACAGTAAAAATACTGATTCCATTGGCAAACTAACTCATTTACCTGCTCAAATTAAAGGTAAAGACACTTAATTTAAGACTTTTGTACTTATTAGTAGATTGTTTTTCCAGATGCCTCAGTGTGTGTGTGTGTGTTGTGGTTGCGGATGCTCAGTGCCGTTTGCGCTGTGGATGCCTCACGCCCACAGAGCCTGCAGAGCATCTCGGCCCGACCTCCGACCACCAACCGCTCTCTCTTCATCTCCCTTTTCCTTTTTTGGCCTTTTTTTTTCTTATTCCGGAAAACCAGAAGCCTCCTGCGTTGCACAACATCGGCCTCCAACAGGAGGCTCTGGGTGGGTGGGGGGCAGGGAGGTGCTGCCTTCACTGTCTGCTTTAACTCAGGGGGATCCACCGCACAGAGCTGGGCCGTTACAGTGGGCTGGATCCACAGGTGCCGGTGGAGGCCCATGTGGGCCTGAGGGGGTCGGGTTCAGGGCTTTAGCTCAACGGTTCCGACTCCAGTTTGACTCTAAACGAGTCTAAATAACATTTTATCAGGAAACTGAAAAAACAGAAAGCACCGTTTTAGTCAAAGTGCTGTTTGGATCACGGATCTGGTGGTGGTGGCCCCTGCTTAAACTAACTGTTGGACAGATGCAATACTAGG